CCTGCCCTGAAGGAGATCCACATGGCGCGGCAGACCTCTTCTGACCCCCCCGCTGCTCCCCTCAGCAGTGTGCTTCGTCGATCTGCCTGTTCTGTACCCCACTATGTCTCTGGTGAATCCTCTCACCCTCCACATCTCTGGCCTGTACCCCAGTTCTGTATATATAAATAAATAAATATGTATTTTTTTAAGTTTCCTCAGCAATCAACACATATTTAGATTACTTTTTTTATGTTTTACAGTGTTTACTACAGCATTAGTAGTAATGCTATTAGCTAATAGCTAGGACAAAGAAACAATCTAAGTGTGAAAGGAATACAACAGAATACTATTCAACCTTAAGATGAAATGTCACTACTTACAGCAAAATGGAAGAAATTCAAGGAAACTGTAGGTACAAAAGCAATTCAAAATAAAGACAAGTACAAGTGTTTGCATTGCAGACTATTTAACAAAGCAAAAAACTTAAAAACTAGCACTTATTAATAAACAAAGAGGTTTCTGACATTTAGATGGAGGGGTACAGAGAAAGGGTCAAAAGGACATAAGGAATGTTGATGAGAAAAAAAATGTTTGATTCTGGAAAAATATACCCATCAATCATTCAATTAATAAATCAGTAAAATTTAGCTCTCCTGGCTAAATTATAAAATTTCAGAGCTGAAGCAACTCTTCATCTCAGAAACAGTTGAATAAATTTAATGAAATCGCCATGAAAATACCAACAATATTCCTCAGAAAAATTTCTCTCTAGGAGATTTCGAAGATGAACAATCTGTCTTCCTTTACAACTTGTTTTAAAAGATCTGATTTAATAGGGTGTTAAATTGATAATCTTCATTAAAATATCAAACTTGTTATTCTGTGTAATGTAGAAATCTTTGTGGATATTCTTAAGTATTATCAATTTGTTCTGTTCACTCTCCTTGGAAGAATAATTTGAACAAAGTGATCTACTAAAGCTATTAAGATTTTTTTAAATGTTGCAAGTTGTGAAAATCATCTAAAATTGCAGAAATAATTACTTTTAAATTTTAGGTTAATTTAAAATAATTTTTTTAAAGATTTATTTATTTATGCGTACAAGAACTGGGTTGGTGCAGGCCAGAGAAGGGGAGTGAGATGATTCACCGGAGAGAGAGTGGGGAACAGAATAGGGGGATCTACTGATTGAAATACACTGCTGAGGGGACCAGTGGATGAGACATGACAGGTCTGCTTCTCCATGTGGGTCACCTCACTGTCAGGGGATGAATTCATGCTGCAGTGGCT